TATAAGGAGTACGAACTAATCGTAGGAATTGAAAAATAAATGCTGTTTTAATTCTGAAACTGTGAATACAACTAAATTTAACGAACTATAAACTATATCTAGCATAAAAACGTCAATCGTTTTTCTTATACCAGACGATAAATTTACGCAATATGGGACGTCATTAACTACCTCCCATGGTTCAGAAGTGAGTGATTAATCTTTAGACCCCTTGAAAGAGCATAAAATATTCTATGATGATATAGGGATATCTATAATCAATAATATGAATCATACGAAGTTTGAGAACTCTTAGATCATTTTTGATGCATTTATACCTATACTACGAATATATGATCTGATAGGTTTTTTTTATTGAATATTGAATGGTAGTATCAATCTAATACTTTTCATTAGAAGGATTAATTAACCATGCGGTCGAACAAAATCAGATTTTTTACTAAAAAATACAGAAATTGTAACTAGGTTAAAACCATTATTCAAACAAATAATCTGAATAAAAATACAGTCAGTCCTCTTTATAACGAACTCGCTAAATCCCGGAAAAAAGTTCGTTATAAAAGTAATTATTCATACCTTTTTTAAATTAATGCATATTTATTTTATATCTTACCATCGAAAAGGAAAGAAAGAAAAACTATAAGGGAAACAAGAAAAAAGAATGTCGAAGAATTCACTGTATTTTCACGATTAAGAAAATAATTTTATACTAAAATTAAGGAATTTTAAGGACATTTTATTATTTAAAGCATACAAGTAATATTATACATACATTATTTTATAATTAAAACACGGATACACGGGACAACTCCACCGAGGGTGAAAGAGGATATCAAAAATGTTTCTAATGCACTAGGCAATGGGGGTTAAAGGTTGCACTTCTTGGAGGAAACGTCCAGAACTGTATTGATCTCGGCGGGTTAGGATCCAATAAAACCAGTTCAAGATTTATGACCACCATAAAATGTGTTAAAGAGAGAATAACTTGACATATTTTTTTCAGAAATACTTTTAAAAAAAGGGGAGGACAAAAATTGAATCCCAAAAGAAAAATTTCGTTATATAGAAAATGTGCTTCGCTACATTGGGATTATTTTATGGAGAAAATCGTGAAACGTTCAAAGTTCCAGGAAAAAGTTCCCTATATAGAAAAATTCGCAATATAGAGGTTCGACTGTATTTTATATTCTAAATTCAATTAATTGCTCAATTTGTTATTGATTCACGTCAAGCTTCTAACATTAACCATTAAAATACAGGACTTTTTTTAAATGTACAGCATAAAACTTAGTATTAAAACAAATAAAATGTAATTGTCAGAGATAAATAATCCATTACCATGGATTCAATTTCCACATTCTTTTCCGCTGAAGACCCACCGTGTAGGAAAATGATGCACGTTAAATCTGTCGAGAGCTCAAACGTCCTCCCGTTGGCGTGGTGTGGTAGTTAGAAGAGGGCAGTGCCAGCTCAGGCATCGTCCTCGTCACTTGACCATGGTTCAAAGCGGTCTGCATTTAGGAGATTTTCCATTTTTGCCTAAACCTCTTCAACTGAGGTAAAATGGGTTCTCTTTAAGCAAGATTTAACTGTAGGAAATAAAACAAAATCGCATGGGGCTAAATCAGGTGAATAAGGAGGATGCCCCCTCTCAGTAATGTTTTTGCTGGTCAGAAACTGCTTGACAGATAAGGCCGTGTAATTGTGTGTATTGTCTTGGTGCAGCAGTCATCCATCACTCCACAACTCTGATCTCTTTTTTTTTTTAAATTTTCACGCTGAAGTCTTTTTATTACTTCAATATAGTAGTGTTGATTAACAGTTTGGCCAATGATGTAAGTGGGAACCTAGTCATATCACCAACTTGGTAATGTTTTGCTTTGTAATCTTTTACCTTGGGCGCCCAGCATGTTCATCCTCTTCCACACTGTCCCTTTCCCCCTGAAAAACGCTTGTGCCATTAAAACACATGTACACGAGACAAAGTTTCATCTCCATAAGCCTTGGTTATTATTTGAAAGGTTTTCGTGGCTGATTTCTAATGTTTCACAAGAAACTTGATGTTGATTCGATATTTTCTGGCAGAATGCAATTGCACGTGTTCACTCACACTATGGGAACTCCTCTGGGTTCCACCCTGGACACCAAGATTGAATTGAGGCAAAGAATTACCAGACGACATTTTTACAATAACAAATAATATTTATTCACTTGAATTAATTATCAACCTTCTAAATACAAATATGAATCAATATGTCTACATTAATGGGATTGAACTTTACTATTAAATTAAATCACGAAATATGATACTAATCAAATATTAAACTCAATATCGAAAGGGTTTACCGGAATAAGAGGTCTGAGAGATATACGCAACTTGAACTACTAGCAATCATTAACTTTCCACTAACTCTATTATTTATTTACTCTTATTATCCAATAAATGAAGTTTAAATATCACCTGACTTTTACAACTTCACTCCTTTCCAATCGGCTCAACTTTCCGAATGTAGATCGCTGCCTGATAATCAGCCAGAAACTACTCACACAATCAACTTGAATCTTCTTAGTGCTCCGTCTATGTATCTCTTGGCTCAATAGCCTTCTCCGCTAACCTACAACACTCTCCTTGTATACTTTGATTCATTTGCATATCCCGTTTCCTCCTTTTAGAACTGGTTGGAAATATACGTGAATTTACAATCCCCAAAGACGCCCAAGAGTATTAGTAATAAAGTGCCATATAGATTCGTCACAACACACAATGACGCAGTACTCTCAATTGGCATGATCGGTTAAAGCTAAACTGGCCACATGGATATAGGAGGTGCGTGAGATGACGTCATCAAGCAATTTTTGCCAACTCCACTCTTTTTTCAAGCACATCTTTTTTTATTCCATAACTGAGAACAAGCAACAAATAGTCAAACTTTATGTATGATTATTCTAACCAAATAACTTGATATTCCATAGTCTAGATATGAATAAACATGATTTATCTTTATCTAATAATCACTATTTATATTTACTGAGTTTATTTTACACGCATATCAGTAAAATATTTTTCAAGATATTCTTATTCATAAATTGTTATTAATAACTCAGTTAATTTGTCGAATATGCAGCGAAAGACTTTTATAGCATTATTATTGCATTATAACTTAATAAATCATGAGTGAGAGAAATAGACGTGTATTATGACTTTTATTTATCATAAGTAATATATATGATAATGAGGATCTCTCTTTTTGGCATTATCTCAATGTATACTGAATAACTTTCTTCTATTTGAGTCTGCTCTGTCCCTAATTAAACCGCACAAGCTAAGGAGAGAGATGAAATATTAGCATTTTAAGAATTATAAATAGATTTAAGGATGTATACATAAACTTTTCATTGTAAAATTAAGTGTACTCTATTACTTTGAAAGAAAATTGCTCGAGAGATAAAATATTCAGTTTATGCATTTTGTATGAACTATTTATTATTTTGGTTAAAAATAATCGCATCCCAGACATTTCATATATTATATATCATAGATATATATTTAGAATAATATAAAGAAGAAATTTTTTACAGTAGAAAGACTCTTTTATAAACAAAAACAAATCATGTTAAATTCAAATTTTGTCAATAAATGTAAAGCAAATCATGTGTATAAATGAAAACGAACGAAAATTGTATTTAAATTTAAAGTATTTTTCATTTATTGTTAGTTTTTAGAGGTGACTGAAAAAACTGATATCTTTTCTTTCGACTTTTTCTTTAAAATTTGTTATTCAATCTCGTCTCGCAACATAGCAGAACTTAAATGATCAGAAAAGCTGAAATGTATACTTTTTAAAATTAAATAACACTATTGTCATATTAAAATAAAATGCAAACAGTGTTCAATATTTTGCTCTCTTCACACACACACACACAAAATTCTCTATCGATATAACCATAAACGTCCCTTAGCTGTTGTTCATTAAGGATTCACTGCATTTTTGGTGAAGGGAAAAAACGCCTGAAGCCCAGTGGCTGAGTGGTTAGTGCATCGCGCTTCCACGCTACAGGTCCAAAGTTCAAACCCCTTGCTAGGCAGAGTTGAATCAGCCTTTCATCCCTTCAGTGAGTCTATAAATGAGTACTAAGCTTTCTTGGGAACTTAACACTGGTGATTTCGCGTCAGACTGACCACCTGATCGGAACATTTGCTCATACATCTCAGAGCTCAAAGTCGCGTATACTGAATTGGACATAGTAAGTCTTAACCCTCATTAAGTTAAATTAAATAAACGCCTAGGGAAATATATGGTTGCATGAATTGTGTCTATTATATTTTATTTTTCTGATTGCGTTAAGTTACCCAAGAACTTTTAAAAATAGTTATAAGTTCAATGTCCTTTAAACTGTGGTGATGTAATTCAATAAAAATCAAAAAATAAATTTAAACATGATTATCAAAAAAAAAAACTATGCTCCGAATTAATTAAAATAATACACAAAATTTTACATCAATCAAAAAATAAAAATGAATGAGAAACAGTCTATCAAAATATTCTTTGCAGTATCAACAGTATTTCGAAATTATGATTCAGAAATGTAAATTCAAAATTAATTTTAACGCTAACAGAAGTATAGTTAAGAAACGTCAAATCTTATTCTAAAAATAAAAGCAATAGAAATTCAGAAAGGTATGTCTTTTTTTTCAATTCCCCCCTCTCTCTCTCTTTAGTTCACTCTTTCTTATATATATATATATATATATATATATATATATATATATATATATATATATATATATATATATATATATATATTGTTCAAATTTTCAGTCGTTAATAAAATACTTTCTATTCATTAAGTTCAAAAACCTTTTTTTCAAACTTGTAGTGGATGGCACTTGATCTTAATAGAGTTTTTTCAAAAATTAAAATTAAATTAAAAAATGAATAAAAATTAACAAACAAAAATAATACTCAAACAACATACATAGAAAGGAAATCGTTCTTTGCGTCCCTGTAGCACAATGGATTGCGCGTTGGACTTAAAATCCAAAGGTCGGGGTTCGAATTCCTCCTGGGATGGCCTAATTTCTCAGGATGTGATTTTTTACTATAATATTTTATTAGAATAATTAAATTTAATTAATGAGTAAACAGTAACAAAAACAAACAAAAATAGTCCAACAATCTATATAGAAATGAAAATCGCTTTTGATTTTGTCATTTAGTATTGTGATTCTGTCATATTATATTAATAGTAATTATTTAATAAAAAGTAAGTAAAATAAATTTTTTCTTGGTTGACATATATATAAGTAGGAATTGACTTAATTTTTTTATATTACTTGTTTCTAATTAAGTTTGAAGATGCGATTGTTCCTTTAAGATTTTTAACTTTCTTTACTTTTTTTCCGTGTGTCATTTTTAGTTCAAAACCCATACAATCTAAAATGTCATCAAAAAGACAGGCATTAAGAATACATTATCGATAATTTGAAAAATAAAAGAGATTTACATCTCTGAAGATATAGAAGATACAGATATAGAAATTTTTTTTCGTGCATCACCTTCAAAGGTATGTGTGTGTATTTCTAATAACCCATATAATTGATAGTTAAAAAATATAAATAATGCTATGAATATCTTCTTAAACATCACTGATGTGACGCATTTAATAATTAGACTAAAATTATTTTGCTTTTTAAATTTATTTCAGCTTAAAAATAAAGTTTTTTGCTTATCCATAAATGATACAAAATTATTCACTATAAGTTAGTTTTCTTAAGTATCAAATTTAAGAGTAAGTTTCTCAAATATTACAAAGGAAATGTAGAATTTCAATAGAAAGTGAAAATAAAGATGAATATTAAAGTTACTAAAAAGCCATCAATTTTTTTAAGTGAATCGCTATAATCCAGAATTAAGTAAATTCGTATAAATTCTTTCGCATTTAAAGAAAACTTTAAAAGGGTGTGCTTTATGTTCATTTGTTACTCGCTTCATTAAACCGTCTAAAGTCTTTCAAATTCTTTAAAGAAAAATCCCCTCAGTCAGTTATAAAAAAAAATAAAATAAAATGCTATATTCCCTTGGTGTATTTTAAAAACTCTCCATTAAAAATTACTCTCAACATTTTCGAGTTTAAAAAGCAGGATAAAGTCCATAAAACTTCCCTCGACAAATATCCAGCTTTGGCAATTGTGCGATTCTCCACTCTACCGTGTCTCATTTCACTATATATTTCATTTTACAAACCGGATTATCTGTGGTTTAGGAATTTCTCCGGAGGTGGTGTCTGAGTTATGAACCTACAACCAACAACGTTCCTTTCGTAACAAGGTTAATTCCTGCAGCTAGGCAAAGCACAGATCTCCAAAATCATTAGCTCCCCAGCGGCCAATAAAACCCAGAACTGTGCAGTCACTTGTATTTGGATTCGAGATGCATTATCTGATGCAGACGTCACAGATAATCGGGTCTCATCCGCCTTGTTAGAGCCGTACTGATTGCGTACAGCTATCACGTGGCCTCACTTTACAGAGAAGCGCCGAAATGGACTCCTATTCGTCCTCACAAGTCGCATTATGCTGCGTTATTAATGATTCCCAGGTGGCAACGTTCGCTTCGCAATCCGAGCTTCAGAATGCTAAGAGGGCAAGTGGGCATTCAAAAAGGAACCACGCGCGGAGAAGACTTCATCAATGGAGCTGCTTGGTGGCTAGACGGAAGCTAACCCAGAATTGTTATGTTTGCAGAATGGAATCATTGTCTGGAGGTTAGATTCGAAGGACACTAGTAGCATCCGTGATTTGGAGGTTTAGAGATACTATTGTTAAGCTCCATGTTATAAGTAATAAGTTAACAGAGGAAGTTGACTGTATTTGAATTTTAAATTTTAATGAATAGTTTACATTGAAATGTTTTAATTCACACAATGTTCAAAATTTATTACAGACATCTGCAAAAATTGGTTTATGTTATACAATATTAACTCAAAAGACATTAAGGTATCCTACTACCCTAAAACCATTTTTTAAAAAAATTGACAAAGTTTTGTTATGATTCTATTTTATATGCCCTCTTATTAGATTTATAAAATTAGATTTAATTTCCATTCACTAGAACAAAAACTATAAGTGTTTAAATAACAACAGATGCCGTAACTTTACATGAGATGTCAAATTTTAAAATGCGTTTTACTCGAAATGTGTGTGTGTTTTCGAAAAGCTCAAACACGGACAGCGATTCCTCAAGAAGTTTTTAAAATAATTTTCTGAATTTTTTGTGTATATTCTGTATAACAGTAGAAGTTTTTTCACCTTCATATTTATCGATCACTGTTTTATTACAAAATTTACATTTCTTTATGTGAATATAATCACTATCTTTTTAAGCAATTTCATACAATGGCTAAGATAAAGGGGTCTAGTTCTTGTAGAAATTAAAATATCTCTTATCCTGAAGGTCATTTCAAAAAGAAATAGCAAAGTACTACATAAAAATTGAAAAATTGAGAATTTGTTCATTTACTATTTGTACAGAGCATGCCTCGTTTATGTAATTGTTTGCCAATTTTTACCCATTTTTTCCCATTTTAGTAGTAATAATTTATTTTTCTCTTCTTAACTTTAGTTTTTTTTTCTTAAAATGTGCTAAATAAATCTAAAAACCACAAAAAATCTCCAATGTCTATTTAAAAATAAATATTGTCGCAAATAGTCGGATACCTTAATAGAATTAGTGCCTAAAGAAACTTCTATATAGAGTTGTACTTAAGTTATAAACAATAATAAGCTATTTTTTGATTCTGAAGAGCACAGTTTATAAATGAAATTAGAATTTTTAATAAAGGGGCTGTGCGTACTTACCAAAGTATTTAAATATAATTCCGGATTATTAATTTAATTCGAACAGCACCAGTTTAAGAACACAAATGTTTTTCAGGGATCATTAGTGGTGTCTCGAATTAGATATTTACCGTGAAATTCGGAGTATAACGCGCACTTTCAACACAAAAAACAAGATCGAAATTTACGGAAGCATGTTATACGTAGGGAATGAAAATGATAACTTTAAAAATACAATAAGAATATGATCATACAAAAAAATTAGGCATCTATATAGATAGAAATACTATTTCTTTAAAAGGAATAACATTCTTTATGAACTTAAAGAGCTGTAGTTCTGAAAGTATACTATTTTTTCAAAAACTTGGGATATAATACATCTAATACATTACTTCAAAACATAAAAGAATTTTACCCGTGAATTTCAGGTTTCTTCGTAAAAAAGGGAATCCGCGTTGTACGACGAAGATACCTAGAAATTAAAAATACAACTTGAAAGTATAGGTGCACGTTATATATATATATATATATGGCGGTGCGTGTTATACGCAGGATTTTACGGTAGGTATTATTGCGAACACCGTGTTTTAAATTACAGCAACTGAAAAAAAAACCTGCAAGCTATGGTTTTATTCTAAAGATACGAATTAAAATAACTTAAGAATTTAAAAATAATGTATTAAAATTATTTTAAGCATTTCTTGATTAAGCATTTTCCAAATTTCAGTTTATGTGAAAACGTTTATACTCTAAAGGTATACTAGTAGAATTAATTTAAGGATAATGCTTTCAAACTCCATATTGTTAGGTGGGGATGAAATAAATTGCATTTTAATTCTAATGAGCGAATTAAAATGAATTAAAACGATCCGCGCGCACGAAACAAGGTTTCAAAATTATTTTGTTTTTCTTTATGAGAAAGGGTCAACAAAATTTAAATTTCTGTGAAACTTTCGTTTTATTTTATCATTTATTTTTATCCTTTTTATTTATTTTTATCATTATCATTTTATCTTTATCATTTATTTTTGTCATTATCATTTTTATCATTAGTACGAGTGAAAATAGTGTGCTTAAAGTTAATATGAAGTAACGTAATCATGTCAATTCTTTTCTTTAAAAAATAAGGATTCTCGCTTAAATTATTAAATATTTGTTGACATACTTCAGTGCATATACATATGATGTAATAATAGACACACACACACACACACACACTGCTGACATTTCAATAATGTTTCTCTTCAGTGTAAATGGTCTTAGCTATAATTATCTAATCAGTTAATTTTCAAAGGGGATTCGTTTTCTAAATACAATGCCAATAAGTTGACAAATGAAAAGATTATAGATAGATAAGATATACTTCAATTCCGTAACTAATGTCAAAGAGTCAAATAACCAATTAGGAATCTCTTACTCTGTTGATGGAAACTCTAAGAATTTAACCTTATTTAAAATTGCGTTTTCTATAAATCCAATAAAACAAAGCAATAAATAGAAATATAACAAGACTATATATATATATATATATATATATATATATATATATATATATATATATATATATATATATATATATATATCGAAAATAAGATATCCTCAATAGCATAACAGCAAACTCTTAGCCACAGGAACTAAGATAGTAGAGTTAAACATTGTTTCAAGGTCAGACCAATTCTCCTCATATTTGCCTATGACACTGGGCTACAAGAAAGAAAAAATAGTATTAGAATAAAATTCCATTAATACTAAAGATAACAATGATAATAGAAGAAGAATATACACTCTGTCGCAAAAAAATATATGCACCCAGAAGAAATCAAGCTACAATCACGAAACTCGGCAAGAATGTAGTCTGGTAAGAGATATGCAAATGATTAAAATTTCGAAGCCAATGAGACAAGGCTAAGTGTGCTATGCGCATATTAGTTGCGCAACTGGGAGAGTTTAAAAGCATGAGTACGAGCGCCGTACGGCTATCCAAACGAATCTGATGACTTTGATAGACGATATTGAGACTTAGGATGCCTCCAAGACGTAACCGGCGGCAGTACGAGCAGCTGACGGACTTTGATAGGGGCCGTATAATAGGCCTCAGAGAAGCAGGTTGGTCGAATAGACGTATCGGCCGCCACCTCGGTCGGAGCGATCTGGTAGTTGCTCGGTGTTGGCAACAGTGGATCACAGAAGGTAGAGTGTACCGTCGCGGAGGGTCAGGACGTCCCATGAACACAA